ATTATGAAGCCGGTATTTTGCAAGACTGGTTGGGGAAAAACGCTCGTGAAATCACTGTAAATGAAAACTCGCTACCTTCGTATAAAATCACCAAGTTTGTGTTTCATTTCAGAAAATAAGCACCACATACCCTTTCCTACCCACACCCATCTCAATCTGGTTTGAGGACGAGAACAAGCTTGCGCCATATTTCACGAATGTCACATCTGAGAGAATGATTGACAGCGCGTGCAATCGACAAGTCAACATACGGGTCTCCCCAGACGAGCGATTTCCCCTGCAGAACAGGAAAGAGTATTTGGCAGCGAGCCAAGTGTTTGAGAGCGGGGTTATTGGGTAGCCTCGGATGCCGCCTGAGTTGCGGTGCCCTCGAAGTTCACACAAAAATATGTACAACCCTAGACTGAGTGTTATGGCAAATATTTACCCGAGAACAATGGTATAGTGTGTCCTTTTTTTACAGAGTCCCCGAACAAGGTAACATCGTTTATCCGGACTGGTCGCATTATGTAGTTAGGTCCGCATTAACGGGTTTCAACAGAAAGTGATACTGAATATGTTAGCAAGCCAAATTGTGTCTGTGTGGTGTTGGGGTCTAGAGTACTGCATTAACGAGCCAATCCAGAAAAAAAGACTTCTCCAGTTGCCGACATGTACATTCATGAACGAAACAAGGGGGTATTCGTCCAACCATTGACTCCACAAACGCCGTCCAACATTAAGGAAAAAATATATACCTAAACACCTGTGTATAGTTTACAGCCATTTCACACACACACACACACACACACACACACACCCCCCCACCCCCACCCCCACCCCCCCCCCCCCCCCCCCCCCCCACCCCCACCCCACACACACACACCGAAATAAAAAAGATGAATGAATGAATGAATTTCACACGTTCCCTTTTCAAAATCCCAAGTACTTCCTAAGGCGGAACTATTAATATCTGGAGTGTAAACATAACAAATTGTTGTGTGATGTTTATGTTGTGTCCGCCGTTTTTTGCTGTATATCATCCCTCCTACCCAACTCACTGAACGTGAATGTTCCATTCACAATCAATACAGTTCGGTTTATATCCATCACCCCACGCCAAAGCTTACTAGGTTCAACGAGATCCAGTTTATGCAGGTGCCAGTACATCGAGATCCAGTTTATGCAGGTGCCAGTACATCGAGATCCAGTTTATGCAGGTGCCAGTACATCGAGATCCAGTTTATGCAGGTGCCAGTACTGAGAGATCAAGATTTTGCAGGTACCAGTACTGAGAGATCCAGTTCATGAAGGTGCCAAGACAGCGAGATCCAGTTTATGCAGGTGCCAGTACTGAGAGATCCAGTTTATGCAGGTACCAGTACTGAGAGATCAAGATTTTGCAGGTACCAGTACTGAGAGATCCAGTTTATGAAGGTGCCAAGACAGCGAGATCCAGTTTATGCAGGTGCCAGTACTGAGAGATCCAGTTTATGCAGGTGCCAGTACAGCGAGATCCAGTTTATGCAGGTGCCAGGACAGCGAGATCCAGTTTATGCAGGTGCCAAGACAGCGAGATCCAGTTTATGCAGGTGCCAGGACAGCGAGATCCAGTGTATCCAGGTGCCACCGTTGATTATGATTATGGTATAACATATTTTTCGATTGACGCCGTACAATAATACCCCCAACTACCCATATAATGTCCTAAAACAAGAAGATCATTAACTATGCGGGTTTGTCTTTTCACCTTAGCTGATCATGACACCAAACACAGTTTGACGTGTACTAGCCGCGAGCAAAATGATAATTGCCTTTAAAATATTCCACTATACCCCAAATAACTTCACATATCTCGATATAAGTTAACAAACAAAGTCTACAGCACCCCCGGGCAATAAAATACGGGTAGCAAAGTAAGAAGGAACATTTGCACATAACACTATACAGTCCTAGTTATCGCTCAAGTTTAACAGAACAGGGTAGGTTACCATGGAAACACGCAGCACGAGATCAGGTGGATAACGATTGGGCAGCATCTGCGTTAAACCTGATGTTTTTCAAAAGTAGAAAATTCAATATACACATACATTTCCGTCTGGGTGCACCGTTCATTGTGTGATGCATACAGATCAATAAAAATTTGCATTTACAATCTCCGTCATTTTTTTAAATGTCTTTTTTTATCCGGGCTTAATTAAATTGTTAGAGCTGGTGAGTTGTAAAACCGACAACGTCAATTTTGGTGCAGTTACCAAACCAACAGGACAACAGGTTGAAAATTTGTACTTGTGAATAATTCAACTAGAAATGAAGCAGAAAATGTCTATGACAATATCAAATACTATTCGTATGACAATTTTTCCAAGCACGAAGTTACCTTATTCGGACATACACAAAAACACAATCAAAACTAGAGGAGTATATGAACCTCAATCAAACACAATAAAAATTTGGGACGCCTAATATATAAAGATTAAAAATTTATTATGAAAAAAGATATTTTCAAGAATGTTCTTGTTTGCATTAAACTTGTGTGAAATTGAATCGGCAAGGAAACATTCCTGTTTTGATGAGGTACCATACGGGTGTCCCTTCGTTGTCCCTTCGTTGTTCACAATATCAGTCAGTGGATTTGTCTCGTCCAGACTTAATTATGCACAGGCCGGCGTCCAATATTTGGAATATTGCTCAGTGCGGCGTTAAACAACAACCGAACAACCTATACGGGTGTCTGACAGACCTAATCCGGATGTGGATTCCGGGGAGGTTAAAGTGGATTGGTTGGCTCTGTGATTTGCATGCCATCGACCCCCGATTGTGTTGATCGCGCTTTAAGTCACTGATTTGAATGTTCCAGAATCGAATACATACAGGCTGTCATGATATGGCTTAGATAATGTTGAATACGGCGGAAAACAACATTCACTCACATATTCCATTCACTTAGGCAGACTAAGAGCTTAGATAGAGCCCGTGTCATACATAGTGTAGCGGTTGGGCGAGCATCAAGTGGAGAATCATGTGTAATACCATGAAGGGACCTGTCGTTGTCAAGTCAGCTTTCCTCCTCATGTTAGAAGAGGCGTGTGTGAGCTCAACACCGCCTCTTACTTCGCACTTCCGCCATTTTGAAAGCTAAAATAATCGAAAGCTCCTCACATCACTTCCGACTTCCAGCTTTCAAAGAACAGGGTTGTGTTTCCAACTTTCTGTCTTTTATGTCAGAATTAGGAAGGTTGAAGTACCTGTCTTCATCGCCAGCTTCAGTCAAAATAGACATTTATTTCTGTATTACGACATTTAGTTTAGGCCGTCTGGGGTTTAATGTCACTCATCTTCAGTTGGTCCAAAACTACCCGTCCCGCTGAAACATTAGCCTTCATATTTAACTGTCTTTAAAACACAGAAACAGTTGCACTTCGAATAAAACATTAAAAAAAAAAAATAGTGAACCAACTTTGCAGTCTTGTCAGTTGTTTACCTGCAACCCCTCCTAACGCCATCGACCAAATGGCGACACCACGAACGGTCTTCACGAATTAACCGCCTCCGTGGTCTAGTGGTAGAGCGTCCGCCCGGAGAGCGGAAGGTCCGGGGTTCGATCCCCGGCCGCGTCATACCAAAAGACGTTAAAAGATGGTACTTGTTGTTACCCTGTCTGGCGCTCAGCATTAAGGGGCTAAAACAAGGACTGGTCGGCTTGGAGTCAGTATACTGTGTCTGAGTGGGGTATTCGTGTTACACTGCGGCATGGTATCTCAGTGGGCTAGCACTATAAATCGGCATCAGTCCGGACTAGTACAAGCAGCCACACAAACACACACACGTACATGCACGTCGCTATATAAGTGCAATAATCTTGGACGCGACGTTAAACCCAATTTCACCTCACCTCACCTCACCTTCACGAATTGCATGCGGAATAGAACACATATACCGTATTTCCTCTATTAGGCGCCGGTAAATACGGTATTTGTCGTGCTTTTACCACTGGGCTAGGTTTCGCCCCAAATATGAATAGTATATTGGTACAGTGAGGTTACTGTGCTATATATTCGGTATACATGGTCATACTGAATGAAACACATCAGGTGCAGTGTGCACACTTATTCCAATTTTTTAACTATGTGAAATATATTAATAATGCAGATTTCCGTACAACAATTATTAATAATATTCCTGCATAGGAAAGACATAAGTCAATGTACAAGTTCATCGTTTAAATACATTCAGATTGACAAGTTACTAAAGTATTGTATGTATTATAGAGGGGACCCGTGAAGATCCTAGAAGGCTAGAATTTATCTTCAACAACCCATGCTTGTCGAAAGCGGCGACTAACGGGATCGGATGGTCAGGCTCCCTGACTTGGTTGACGCGTGACATCATATCCTAATTGCGTAGGTCGATGCTCATGATGTCAACCACCGGTTCGTCTGGACCAGACTCGATTATTTACAGAAACTCCGTCATTTAGCTGGACTATTGCTGAGTGCGGCGTTGAAAACATCCAAACGTATAGACGGCTTTCCCCACACAGTTCTAGAGAGAATATTCTTCGCCTACCAGTTAGTAATATATTATATATTACAGCAACTGGATAAGTCCCGTTATGACATTGTTTATGAAAACACGGCGAAGTATTCTCACAGTAAAAGATGAATTTCGGCTTCTTTTACAAAATTGTAAAGTTTGCAGGTAAATTTATTCCAACGTTCAATTGTATATTGTTCATCTGGTCCAAACAAACATAACGAAGTTCTAGAAGAACACAGTTCCCGCCCACATAATTCAATAGCAGCAGTTCATATATAAGATAACGCCACACTATCACATCATACCCTCAACGTTATCAAGCTGCTCGTCTATAGTTCCATTTATCAGTGTATTAATATTATTCTCTGTTTCATGTGGATTAACAGAGAACACAGTAAATGTTCAATCGCTTAAAACGCAATTTCATTAATGGTCGTGGCATATCTTCCCCTTCGTCCAACTCTGAAGCTTGTTAATTAGCCATGGCTTTGTACCCCGCCTTCAGCAGGTAATCTGATCCGCCAGTTGGCGGTACGTACGGCCCGGACACCCTGAATTATTCCCATGTTACTAATGCGCACCCGTGTACTCGCATATCAACGTCAAGGGCCGGCCAAAGTGTCGCTGATAATACATTATCTTTTTGTTTGTCGCAGGGTAAGTATACCAGGTAGGTATCAGACGTCCATCTGTATCTGTTAAAACTGCCCCATCGTATTGCATCTTTGATCTTATTTTAGCCAGCCAGTTTTGAGCAATAGTTGTTAAATGTTAGACCCCGTATTCTAACCTGGATTATGTCCACCAGTCCTCACTGCTGCCTTGGCTATCTCTGTGACTCTAGTTCATCCTTGTTTTCGCCCCACCTCCAATTTTTCGACCACTCTCCCCCATAATAAGTTTAATCGCCCATCTTCAGTTCCATCTAAGGTCCCCACCTTCCCCTTATTCACACAACCGTCCCCCATAAGCAGTTCAGACCACCCTGCCAATCATTTTCTACGGGTGCGCTCCCCACATAAACACTTCAGACCCCACTCCCGTGCATCCCTGTTCACCCCACCCTCTCTTTCTCCCCTCTCGATATATACAGCCTAAATCTCCATCACCCATCCCACTCCTAACCCCGCCCCTCCCCCATTCACATAAAGCTAAATTCCCCTTCCTCTCACACCTTATCTACGGCCCGCCCTCCCGTCCCCGAACCAAATAAATACTTCAGACCCCCTCACCAATCTCCAGGAAAACACTCCCTCCCCTCCCCACGTACACAGTTCCTCTCGCCCTCCAATCTCTGGCCCCACATTCTACTCCCCACGTAAAAAGTTCAGACCTTTCTCTTGCCCACCAATCTCCGGCCCCACCCTCCCCTCCCCATGTAAACAGTTCAGACCTTTACTCTCGCCCTCCAATCGCTGTCTCCACCCTCCCCTCCCTACGTAAACAGTTCAGACCTTTACTCTCGCCCTCCAATCTCCGGTCCCACCCTCTACTCTCCACGTAAACAGTTCAGACCTTCCTCTCGCCCTCCAATCGCTGTCTCCGCCCTCCCCTCCCCACGTAAACAGTTCAGACCTTTCTCTCGCCCTCCAATCTCCGGCCCCACCCTCTACTCCCCACGTAAACAGTTCAGACCTTTCTCTCGCCCTCCAATCTCCGGCCCCACCCTCTACTCCCCACGTAAACAGTTCAGACCTTTCTCTCGCCCTCCAATCTCCGGCCCCACCCTCTACTCCCACGTAAACAGTTCAGACCTTTCTCTCGCCCTCCAATCTCCGTCTCCGCCCTCCCCTCCCAACGTAAACAGTTCAGACCTTTCTCTCGCCCTCCAATCTCCGGCCCCACCCTCTTCTCCCCACGTAAACAGTTCAGACCTTTCTCTCGCCCTCCAATCTCCTGCCCCACCCTCTACTCCCCACGTTAACAGTTCAGACCTTTCTCTCGCCCTCCAATCTCCGGCCCCACCCTCTACTCCCCACGTAAACAGTTCAGACCTTTCTCTCGCCCTCCAATCTCCGTCTCCGCCCTCCCCTCCCAACGTAAACAGTTCAGACCTTTCTCTCGCCCTCCAATCTCCGGCCCCACCCTCTTCTCCCCACGTAAACAGTTCAGACCTTTCTCTCGCCCACCAATCTCCTGCCCCACCCTCTACTCCCCACGTTAACAGTTCAGACCTTTCTCTCGCCCTCCAATCTCCGGCCCCACCCTCCCCCTCTCCACGTAAACAGTTCAGACCTTTCTCTCGCCCTCCAATCTCCGGCCCCACCCTCTACTCTCCACGTAAACAGTTCAGACCTTTCTCTCGCCCTCCAATCTCTGGCCCCACACTCTACTCCCCACGTAAACAGTTCAGACCTTTCTCTCGCCCTCCAATCTCCGGCCCCACCCTCTACTCCCCACGTCAATAGTTCAGACCTTTCTCTTGCCCACCAATCTCCGGCCCCACCCTCTACTCTCCACGTAAACAGTTCAGACCTTTCTCTCGCCCACCAATCTCCGTCTCCGCCCTCCCCTCCCAACGTAAACAGTTCAGACCTTTCTCTTGCCCACCAATCTCCGGCCCCACCCTCCCCTCCCCACGTAAACAGTTCAGACCTTTCTCTCGCCCTCCAATCTCCGGCCCCACCCTCTACTCTCCACGTAAACAGTTCAGACCTTTCTCTCGCCCTCCAATCTCTGGCCCCACCCTCCCCTCCCCACGTAAACAGTTCAGACCTTTCTCTCGCCCACCAATCTCCGTCTCCGCCCTCCCCTCCCAACGTAAACAGTTCAGACCTTTCTCTCGCCCTCCAATCTCTGGCTCCACCCTCTACTCCCCACGTAAAAAGTTCAGACTTTTCTCTCGCCCTCCAATCTCCGGCCCCACCCTCTACTCTCCACGTAAACAGTTCAGACCTTTCTCTCGCCCTCCAATCTCTGGCCCCACCCTCCCCTCCCCACGTAAACAGTTCAGACCTTTCTCTCGCCCTCCAATCTCCCGCCCCACCCTCTACTCCCCACGTAAAAAGTTCAGACTTTTCTCTCGCCCTCCAATCTCCGGCCCCACCCTCTACTCTCCACGTAAACAGTTCAGGCCTTTCTCTCGCCCTCCAATCTCCGGCCCCACCCTCTACTCTCCACGTAAACAGTTCAGACTTTTCTCTCGCCCTCCAATCACCGGCCCCACCCTCTACTCCCCACGTTAACAGTTCAGACCTTTCTCTCGCCCTCCAGTCTCCCGCCCCACCCTACCCTCCCCACGTAAACAGTTCAGACCTTTCTCTCGCCCTCCAGTCTCCCGCCCCACCCTATCCTCCCCACGTAAACAGTTGAGACCTTTCTCTCGCCCTCCAATCTCCTGCCCCACCCTACTCTCCCCACGTAAACAGTTCAGACTTTTCTCTCGCCCTCCAATCTCCTGCCCCACCCTACCCTCCCCACGTAAACAGTTCAGACCTTTCTCTCGCCCTCCAGTCTCCCGCCCCAGACTCCCCTCTCCACGTAAACAGTTCAGACCTTTCTCTCGCCCTCCAATCTCCGGCCCCACCCTCTACTCCCCACGTAAACAGTTCAGACTTTTCTCTCGCCCTCCAATCTCCTGCCCCACCCTACCCTCCCCACGTAAACAGTTCAGACCTTTCTCTCGCCCTCCAGTCTCCCGCCCCACCCTACCCTCCCCACGTAAACAGTTCAGACCTTTCTCTCGCCCTCCAGTCTCCCGCCCCACCCTATCCTCCCCACGTAAACAGTTCAGACCTTTCTCTCGCCCTCCAATCTCCTGTCCCACCCTACCCTCCCCACGTAAACAGTTCAGACTTTTCTCTCGCCCTCCAATCTCCTGCCCCACCCTACCCTCCCCACGTAAACAGTTCAGACCTTTCTCTCGCCCTCCAGTCTCCCGCCCCAGACTCCCCTCTCCACGTAAACAGTTCAGACCTTTCTCTCGCCCTCCAATCTCCGGCCCCACCCTCTACTCCCCACGTAAACAGTTCAGACTTTTCTCTCGCCCTCCAATCTCCTGCCCCACCCTACTCCTCCCCACGTAAACAGTTCAGACCTTCCTCTCGCCCTCCAGTCTCCCGCCCCACCCTATCCTCCCCACGTAAACAGTTGAGACCTTTCTCTCGCCCTCCAATCTCCCGCCCCACCCTCTACTCCCCACGTAAACAGTTCAGACTTTTCTCTCGCCCTCCAATCTCCTGCCCCACCCTACCCTCCCCACGTAAACAGTTCCGACCTTTCTCTCGCCCTCCAGTCTCCCGCCCCACCCTATCCTCCCCACGTAAACAGTTCAGACCTTTCTCTCGCCCTCCAATCTCCTGCCCCACCCTACCCTCCCCACGTAAACAGTTCAGACTTTTCTCTCGCCCTCCAATCTCCTGCCCCACCCTACCCTCCCCACGTAAACAGTTCAGACCTTTCTCTCGCCCTCCAGTCTCCCGCCCCCAGACTCCCTCTCCACGTAAACAGTTCAGACCTTTCTCTCGCCCTCCAATCTCCGGCCCCACCCTCCCCTCCCCATGTAAAAAGGGTCAAAAACAAAACTGAAAAAAATTCTAAGGCCAGTTTCATCGTTTAAATCTGTCACCAAATAACAAATATTAACAACAAGCATATTATCAGAAAGAGTTCCCTTCAACCACGCGCGCGCATTCACACAAACGCACGTAAGGCCCCACGTGAACAGTTCCACTTGAATTAAACATCACACGTATGTATATTTACATATATTTTGTCCGATGTCAAGGCAAACAACTCCAACGAACCAGTGTCTAAACCAAATAGCTCGCGGGTATATTCTAAACACACCACGAATCACAGCAATGACATATGAGCTATTAAAGTGTCATCCGGGGAGAGACTATGAATGACCCAATGCTAACTGGGATATAAAGCGACAGTGTTATATTTGGCTAATGGTCTTTAATCCGATAGTCTACTTATCTATATAGTCTTCCTGTTTGCACTGCTCGTGACTAAATGAAAATAATCGGTTACCGTCATCCGAGATTGTTTTTTTAAATGCTCTTCCTCTTCGTTGGGTGATATCTTATATCTATATTTTTGTTTGTGTTAGTTGCGATGAGGATGTAACGGTATATGTTTAATGTGAGTTTTTAGTTGTGTGAAAGCGGAAGGCGTTACTTTGTAAGCTGCGTACATGGTAATTACTCATTCATTGGGTTTTTGACAGTTTCTATCTACAAGCACAGAACATATTTACCCATTATTTAATTATTCGTAATATTTTGCATAAAACTTCAGAAACCGAGATTTCTGTTTCACAAAACATAAAGAAAGTTTTGGTTTTTTTAAATAAAAAAAATTAGCATTTGACATCTGCATTGATTCTAAACATTTCAAGTTTAAAACTTTATATTAACTAACTTGATATCTATAGTTAAAGTGTAATTATGAGAAACTTAATGCTCCGCGATAGATGATAATAAAGGAGAATATTCTCTGCGTTGACAGAATGCTCTCCTGAGCAGTTTAGAATTTAAAACTAACAATCTCCCTATATTTGTTTGTCGCCTTCGCAGCACTGTCTGTAGCTATATAGTCACTCGTAAGTCAATATTTAAAAAATACCACGGGCTTGAATATTTGGGTTTTATACAATGTATTCATGCAGGGAATCGAAGCTCGGTGTTCGGGGTCACCTACAGCAAATGCTTTAACTATCTGCCTATACCTTGTATGTCAATTACATATATTTTTGGCGTATGATAGATATTCGAAGGCCCATTTATCCATTTGTTCTATCCGTATTTCAGAGGATTACAATTTCATATTTAAAGGTTTTTTTACGAATTTCGAGTAAATCCTTGTGTTAATGTAACAAGCATCAAAACCATATCTACCGCATCTATAATTTAATGTATCTACTTATATTTTTATCAAACAGATATTTTCCTTTGAAATTTTATTCTTTCATGGTTTATATTTTCAGTTGGACGTGTCTCTATCGGGGCTTCACACAACTTGTTTCACTTCAAAGCTCGCTAGTTTACGGTCCAGACTGGTATAACCCGCAAGACGAGGGTGTATGTATCTATCAATCACGTGTACATTTCATAGTCCGACTTCGCCTCGCTTGACAGGTAATGCCTTCTTGTCACCCCGGATGCATGTACATAGCATCCAGTTATCCACCTTTCTCACGCAGGAAAATAAACCATAAACTCGCAGTTTTCCATGGGGTAAACGGTTGCATAGTGAAGCCTCGTGTCTACCCATATGGAATGCCTTAAAACGATACATGTCTTCACCTCGTTATAACGCGTATCCAAAACTCCTCCCTAACGCCATGTTATAGAAGCAAAATACACGGGTGTTTATCATTATTACGCAAACACGCCCTTTAACGAGCAACATCCGTAAAGATTCACACTACTTTGCAATTAATTAACGTTTCATTGCGGTACAATGAAGATAAATTCAAAGTTGCTTTGGGCTCATTAAACCGCATGGTACTGCGAGGTAAGGAGAAAAGGGATGCATTTTCTTGCTGGGTGTTACGACAAGAGAAAGTTGGCCGCGTTTCATTGGGTACAAGTGACAAGGTATCGGGTCAGACCCCCCAAATGAACTTACCCCGTTACTCATTGTCCCCGGGGCTGTCACAATCTGACAGTAATGCGGGGTGCGATCACCGAACAAAGCCCCCAAAGACAAAGCGCCTCTGTATTTGGCTTTCACATGGGAATTAACCGTCTAACTGTGTGGACAGGGTATGTTGTGAAATATTTCTATTTCGTTCACCCGCATTTTGTGAGTATTTTATTTGATCTCTTCCATTAGTTACTGATTGTGTTTGCTTTTTTAAACTTCTCAAACAAACTGCATCTTGAATATGTATTTACATTAATATGATATTAATATGTTCTTTCAACTTTAGTTACACGAGTCTACTTGATGGATGGTTTGGATTTATTTGAAATCCATATATAAGTTGCATAAATAGAAATGGTTACAAAAACTACCGGTCAAAGAAAGTATACTCTTGAAATTTGGATTTGACCACATAATTATAAACGTTATGAAAACGTTGGCTGAAAACAGTCAACGATACACTGCAATGTTAAGGTCCAAATCATAAGCATGATACCCGTATGAAATACAGCACCATCAAGTAACCATTTCTTGATTAATAGTTTCATTTTTAGCCACCACCATGCAAATATGGGTGTATACTTTCTTTTGCCCGTTCCACAAGCGATCTTAGCACTAAGATGATCGTAAGTCCCATACTTTAACATAGGCTTACAATCATCGTAGCGCTAAGATCGCTTTGAGGAACGGGGCGCTGTATCATTATTTCAAACTGTCCCGGTAGTTATAAAGGTTGGTGTAAGCGGAGCTGTATGTAGCTTCATAGAGCACAGCATCAGACACTCTTACATAACAACCACAGAGCACTGGTTATGTGAAGTATTAGACGATAATAGTTTTAAAAACACTTTCTCGACCGATCCACGTCTGTTATCATTGATAATCAAGTTGATTAACTCATTTAATGTCGTGTTTTTAATTCCACCCTCCACGTATGTACTGGGAAATGATTGACGGGTTGTTGTTATTGTCGTTTAAGTCAGTAACTCGATCCCCCGTTGGAAGGGACACGGGCAAGTTTGTCACATGGCTGAATGAGCCAAGACACCAGACTGATTAGAATGTATCAAGAACCAAGATAATACACGTGATTCATCCATAATGGTTGACGTTGTAACAATGTCAAATTTGTATCTATTACCCAGAAAGTCTTAACCTCTTGTTTAATGTGTAGAGTTGCATTGAGAAGGGGGTTAGGTGGAACAGCCACACAACAGATATTACGTGTGATGAGAACTGACATGCCGTGATGCAGCTCTCTCTCTCTCTCTCTCTCTCTCTCTCTCTCTCTCTCTCTCTCTCTCTCTCTCTCTCTCTCTCTCTCACTCTCTCTCTCTCTCTCTCTCTCTCTCTCTCTCTCTCTCTCTCTCTCTCTGATACCATGTAAATCCGTTGAAACCTAATGCTCACCACAGCCACATGTTCAGTTATGCTCACTTCCGCATTGGTGGCTGTGTCGTCGACTTCCTGCTTCGTTCCACGTCATGTCCGCGTAACTCGGGACCATGGTCATGTAACCATGCACTTGACATGCAGTTTCATATAAACACATTGTCACCAGTGCACGTTTTCAAGTGGAAGTCCGCCGTGT